AATCACAATTTAGTGACAATGGCAACAACTTTGGTACCTTGTCCAGCGCAGAAGAACAAGAGCAACAACCACCATCGCAGCAGCAACCACAGCAAGGAACAGTCAATAAAGTGACTGTAACTCGAACAAAATCAGCCCCATCCATGGGAACACGATTCCTGCAAGCATTGCTGTTTGCGGCTGTAGTGGCCCTCGGGTCCTATTGGGTCGTGCTCATTAGGCGATACATGAAAACTCAAAACAAAAGGCGCAACCTCGAGGAAAGGGTTGCGGGACGATCCGCTCGACGATCCTCCACGGAAGGAAATGATGGCAGCTCTCGCAGTACAGACAGTGGTCGTGGTGAAAACACAGACCATCACATGATGAATACGAGTCACTGCGAGATTAATATTAGGGAGCAGGAGGATGACCTGAATTATTCCTCAGAAAGTGAGGATGATGAGGAAGAAATCATGTTTCAGAAACCTGAAGACATTGAAGCCTTGAGACAACAGTGCTTTACGCAAAGCTTTGATCCAACGTTGTTGTTTGGGCCAGAAGAAGAAATGAAAGCAATGTCAGCAGCAGATCATGCTGTACCTGCCATGAACGTTCTCTTGCAACAGGAGACCTACTTGAGACAACTTCGGGAAGCAAGAAAAGCAAAGAGAGCAGCCGCTTCTGCAGCTGGTTTCCAATACTCTCCACAAAATAGGCAACTTTTGGAGGCCCTAGGAACCACTGCAACAAAGCTTCAATCTAGTAGCTTTGATAGCAGCACGCAACGTCAAACCATTGACAATGGCTATTTCCCAACGCAACAACACGCAGCAGCAATGATGAATTCGAGGCAGGTAGGTACGGGATCTGGCACTGCTGGTGATGCATTGGATGCTCTCATGCAAACGTCAATGAACCAAGCCGCCACGTCAGAAAAACATTGCAAACTCTAGGAGGAACTACCGATTAACACAGCAGAATTCTTTACAACAGCCAGATGAACCCGAGCAAGAGAGCAGGTGGCAGTATATCACTCGACGAATGGGTGTTCCAGGATGTTGAGAGTACGGAGATAGAGACAACATTTGTTGCCTCGACACAACCAAGCACCACGAAAGAGGATGCGGATGTGGCACTTCGGCGTACCGACGGGGTTGACTTTGTGTAACAACGAACAGGGTTTGATCAGAGGAAGTGGGTAGATACAAATTTATTGGGACCAGATTTGATTCAAGAAGGCACAAACAAGGAAATCAGGGACCAGCACAGAGAGCAAGCCATAGATAGCTGTATTGTAGAAAGGGGGCAGGCAGGCACACCCCCAAAGCATTTATAACAAACATACTGAACAACTTATTCACAAAACCAACTGCTTCTCGGAGGATCATGGCCAGCGCTGGACGGAATGCGCCTCGTCTAAGAATGAATTGTGCGTGGTAGCTGCGTGGCATCCAAGAGCTGAGATACCGTTGTCCTGCCTCTGCTGCAAGCAACGAAAACGGCAACGAGTGACAGGCAAAACGAATGCAAACGGTCAGCACGGGGAGCACCGTTCGTTCTTCCCACTCTGGACCTGCTCTCTTTGGGGGTCCCGGTGCGGTCCTGGAGCAAGTTGGCCCAGATGTTGGCACCGGTGTGGGCCCTGGGCCCATGTATCGTATGTCTGGGTGTTGGTCTCGGTGTTCATGGGTGTACACCTCAGAATGCCTCCGGAGCCGATTCCATACGTTCCGATCGTCTCGTGGTCCCAAGGGTGCCATGCAGCTGGTCGTCGGTTGGTAAAACGAACCATGCAGGGACTTGCCTAGGGTGGTTTCGAGCAAGTAATAAGAAGTAGACCAATGTTGCTCGTTTCAGCAGAGAGCGCTTCATAGACCCAATTCACCCTTGTTCCGGGACGTGGATCGTGCACACCACGTCGAAAGCAACAACGCAGTCTCGCAACATCCGCACTTCCACTCGATCGTATCGTATCATCCATCCAGAATTCAGAATGACTTCTTTAGAAGATAGCCTTAGAATACACCTTGGCTTTGTCGTATTGAAACGAATTCACCGTTGTCTCCTTCCTCTTCGTCCCTTTTTGTGTTCCGTCGTCGAGGGTCGGGAGGGTCGTCGAGGGTCGGGTTCAAAAAGTGATGCCACGGGTCCCGCCTTCAGGTTTTACGGGTGCTAGTTTTTTGGAAAGCGTAGTATAAATTTGGTTAAAGAAACATTTCCCGAACCCTTCTGTCTAATTAAATACCACTTTCTTCTGGTCACACTTCCAGCCATTTGACCAATCAAGATGCTCCAAAGCATATCTCACTTTTCGTCGTCCTCGAAGCAACAAATCGTTGCAAAAACCACAGAAGGTCGCCCTCATAAAACAAAAAGATTGGTCCCGTGGTTTGGTACGGTATACTCCAATCTCCTCTTGTTGTTGTTGTTGTTGTAAGGAGCAACCTCCGTTTCTCACCATGGCTCACTTTCCACAGTTTGATCCTTATTATCCCCCCCTGCAGTCACCACAGCAGCATTTTCACCCAGTCCGGACGGTCAACGGCTACTGGCATCCACAACTCCCGCGGTTTCCCTATCCACAACCTGCCATGATGCCATACTACGGTCCTCCGCCACAACAGCAGTACCGTCCGATCCAGCAGCCAGACAATCAACAGCCTCATGAGCAGTTGTACTCTCCAGTCAAGACTACTACTACTACAGCAGATGCGAACAATGACGATGATATAGTTTTTTTTTTGTTGCCCATGGACTACCGTCCCTGTCCCAACACGGTCATTATTGTTGGCAACCATAACAATAATAATACGCAGAGCCAACATGCCGGCAATGTTCGTTTTCAACAGCTTGTCCAGAGAGAACTGGGCGCTTATCGTGCTGCGGAAACCGAAAACAAGACCACTGTCATTCGGCGTGTCTTGACAGAACTCCAGTACGCATTCGTCCAGCAAGACGTGGCCACATGCCGCTGGTATCGCGTTCCAGACGCCGCACAACGAGATCTTGTGGAACGGGTCTTTCAGAATGCAATCAAGGACGACACGGACAACAGCACTCTACTACATCATGTAGTTCAAGAACAGGAAACTGGTTGCGTCGAAGAACAGGAACAACAAGCAGAAACGGAACGCGGCGGTGGCGATGAAACGTCAACAGACACGCAGGCGCCCAACAAGAGTCCCTCCAGAATGACTACTAGCACGTCATCATCAGCTCCTGTGGAACTCACCAAGAAAGCTCCGCCAGCCATGAAGAACATGTGCGATAACACCTTGGCCACGAGGGCATTTACTCCTCTCGGCGGGAGTCAACCTACCATCATCACCCAAGATGTGCCCTCCACCGTCACTGCTAGAAGTACAAACGAAACCATCACCAAGGCGGAGGACAAAGCAGCATCTGCTATCATCTCGCCAGAGGCTCCCATTGTTGTCATCAAGAATAACCCGGCTTTGACCAAGGCGCAGCGGGCCATCAAGAATATGTGCGATGGAACTTCCGTGTCAGCAACAACAGCAGAGACACCCCGTGGACGCCGCACAAGCAAACCTGTCATCCACTACACACCAGAGGAGTCCTACACCGTAACCGCTAGTGGTACCAATGAAGACAACACCAAGGAGAAGGACAAAGCAGAGTCCACCATCACCTCGCAGGCTCCAGTTGTATCAAGGCTAACCCAACTTTGACGAAGGCCAGCGGGCCATCAAGAACATGTGTGATGGAACTTCCGTGTCAGCAACAACAGCAGAGACACCACGTGGACGCCGCACAAGTAAACCTGTCATCCACTACACACCAGAGGAGTCCTATGCTGTCACTGCTAGTAGTACTAATGAAACCATGACCAAGGTGGAGGACAAAGCAGTGTCTGCTATCACTTTGCCAGAGGCTCCCATTGCTGTCATCAAGGCTAACCCAACTTTGACGAAGGCCCAGCGGGCCATCAAGAACATGTGCGATGGAACTTCGGTGTTGGCAACAACCACAGAGACACCCAGGGGACGCCGCACAAGTAAACCTGTCATCCACTATACACCAGAGGAGTCCTCCACCAGCACAGCCAGTACCAGTAGTACTAACGAAACCATCACCATTACCTCGCCAGAGCCTCCGGTTGATACCATCCAGACTGACTTAATGACCACAAAGGCTCAACGAGCCATCAAGAACATGTGTGATGGAACCACCGTGTTGGCAATGATGGCAGAGACACCCCGTGGACGCCGTGAGAGCAAACCTGTCATCCAATATACACCAGAGACCCCCCGTCCCAGCAGCCGGACTCACAGCAACAAGAAAAGCCAACAACAAGCGCCCGCACGAACACGTGACCAGGAAGACCCTCTACGGCAGCAACGACAACCATAGCAAGAAAGTCAAAGTTGCCAAAAAAGCAACCAGTCGCGAGTGGGTCTACAAAGAGAACCAGCACCGCAAGAGTTTTGACAAGGCCGTTCGGATCATTGAGACATCCATTGACCCGACCAAGGTCCACGCCGCCGCACACGAGTGGTTGGCCGCCAAGGGAGTCCCGTTCGACGAAAACACCATTCTGGCGTGTGACAAGGCATTGACGACTCATCATGCCAATGGCGCTCTTGGCATCTTCCTACTCAACTCCATGACCAACTTGGGCGTGGGACGTCGCGAGTATTGCAAGTTGTTGCTGGATTGTGGCTTTGTGGGCATGATTTCTCGATTCCTACAAGACACCGCCCCTGACGATGATGCCGCCATGGAATGTGGCTTGCGCTGTCTTTCCACCATTCTGGCAAGTTCCCAGCAGGAGCAAGCCGGTGGCAATCTCTCTGATGTCACCATGGCCATTGAACCCGTCTTGGATGCTATGAGTGATGATTCGTACCACGCCAACATTACAACCTTGGCGTGCTTGGCGTTGTACAACCTACTCGTGGCCGACCCGACGGCCTGCGCCCGTGCCTTGGTAGAACAACATTGGCTCAAGACGGCCTTGGATGCTCTCTCCTCGGCGCTGTCCCTGCATCCATCCAGCTTGATCGTCGCCAGCTCGGCGCTGGCAGCATTGTCGCACATCACCATGGCGTTGGACGAAGATCGTTTGCGTAAGGTGATTGCGGTGGAAACCAACCTTATTGATCTGGCCAGTTCGACACTCTTGCAGTTTGGTGGAATGACCGTGGCCGATTGCGTGGAACAACTGCGACAAGAGCAATCAGATGTGGACCACACGTATGTCCAAGAGGATCGGGATTGCCTCCTCAACAATGGATTTCGAGCCTTGTACAACATCTCTCTGGTCAGCCATCATGGTCGCAAGCAAATCTTGGAAGGAAGCTTCCACGGTCTCTTGGAAATTGCACTAATGGAGAAGACAAACGTAAACGTTCAGGAAGTCTTTTTTGCCCTGGTCCATGCAAACGCGATCAACGACCCGGACTCGGTCATCTTGGAAGGAAGGACCGAAGGAATCCTCGACATTACTCTGCGGGCTTTGGAACTACACAAACAAGTCCCACTGGTCGTCGATTGGGCATTGGAAGTACTGGCGACTTGCTTCTCGGCACAGGTGGCGGCACGTGCAAGTGAGGATGACGGCCAGTTCTTTCAACCGGTGATGGATCTTTTGGACTTGTACATGACCAAGCTAGTTGCGGCGAACGAACCGGAGGAGAAGGAAGCTTGTCTCAATGTAGTTTGCGCCGCCTTGAAGGCAGTGGAGACCCAAATCAGGTGAGTCATCATGCAAAGTGTGTGTCATCATGATGACGGCACGAAACTGACAAATCGCTTACTTTTCCTGCATCTCTCAGGGCCTGTCCTAGCAACGCGGGTTTCTTGCTCGTCCGTGGGGGCATCTTCAAGATTTTCAAGGCACTGAAGGTATCAGCCACCCCACCATTATTCTCCGTGGTTGCTGAGGCGACCGCAGCCAGCGTGGATGCGCAAGAGCATGCATGCAATTTGATCTTGTCGCTGCTCGATGGCAATCATGCTCTGGCTTCGTTGTTGTTGAATCGTGCGGACATGATGAAGCACATGACCAAGATTGCCAATTGCAATAACAAAGTTGTCCAGCAGAAGTCTGAAGCGGTTCTCAAGGCCTTGTTTGAGATGGACGGCAAAGTCCTGTATCAGAAGGTTCTAGAGGCACACCATGACCTGCGCCTGTTGGACATAGACTCAAACCGAGCCCTGCAGCTTTTGGAGGAATTGAAACAGTCCACCTCTAGAGGCTGTCCCTAATGCGGAGATTCATTCAAGCTTTGGGCAGTGGATTTGTGGTCGGAACGAGGCACGTTTCCGTCAAGGAAGGGGAAGGAGTTATCACTCCACTACATACGATACATGTATTGCAGAAGTCGAAGAATCGCAGGAAGTTGATGAGAAGGGTGCATTCAAGTCAAGAAAAACCAGCTAGACCAGCTCGCTCTGGTTGAACTCATTGGTATAAACACTCTGAATAAGAATGAATGGGGTTACATCAGATAGGCAACGCTTCTTCGCGTGCTTAACTTAGTTCAGCTCCTGCACTGTATGGCCATCATACATGTATTGTCGTTCCAACTGGGAGGCCTATGTTCCTGCATGGCGGCAAAGCATTTGCCTGAAAGCACTATTCATATGGGTGCGCGATTCGATGCCTCTGTGGAGTAGAATGAGTACGCTCACTAGCTGGGATACCTGAATGGAAGCTCAACTGTCACGGGTAGCTTTTCTGCTTCCTCGCGTGTTCGTTGTTGGCGGGAACCAGCTAGCTGTCTCCTGTGTCCATTGCTTGTCCACTGTCTTCAGTTCGTAGTGGGTAGTCACTGGACAATTCGAAGATCTCGCTCCGAAAAGACTTGTTGAAGATGTTTGGCGAACTTCACTGCCTCGTCGTCCATGTCTGCATTACTATCCTCTGTGCCATCATTGACGCCATCCGTGTTTCTCTTCTTGGAGAGTTGCACCAACAACTGCAAATCCTCCATGGTTTCCTCCGGTACATTACCGTCGTCATCCAATATGACCACCAAGGCGCGGTCCGCCACCTGCAAATCGGCTTGTTGTTGTTGTTGTTCGTCGTGAATTATTATTGCTTGTCTCAAAATGGCGGCCAAATCTTGATATTTGGCTTGTTTTTGCCTCCGCAACTGTCCCATCTTGTTGGCCTTGCCGACCGTCACTTCGACAATGACCAACGTCGCGTTGCCCAAGATACAACAAAGATCGGGCGCTCGTAGTTTGTTCTTGATTTGACTTTTGGTATTGGCACTATGATGGACGAGCCACTTCCATTCGTACAGTGGTTTGTCTCGTATCAGTTGCGTGGCTTGGAGTGTAGACGACAGCCATTCCGCCACTTGTCCCAGAATGACATTGTGTCGATGTCGCACTTGGACCGAAATGGCATGGGCTTGTCGACGCCGTCTGGCATTGGCAGACAGACCACCACCACCATGGCGACGATGATGATCCTGTTGTTGCGGGATGATTGGTGGTGGGCCGAGGACAGCAGGCTTGACTCCCGGCTGCTGCAGCAAAAGGTTCCTGTTTTCCTTCGCTATCTCCATCCCGTTTTGTTGCTCCGTGTCACTTGGCGTTGTTGTTGATTGTTGTCGTGGAACAGTAGTAAACAGAGCTCCAATGGGCAAATGATCCGAAGGGAATCCCTGTTCGACATTGGGTAGACCGTCCAGTATCGTTTGCACGACTTTTTCATTGGCCACATTCACTGTGGCGAGTACCGATTCCACTCGGATTTGGTTTGGATTATTGTGATCTGGAGCGTCGTCATTCTCTTGTGACCGCTGCTCTTCTTCTTGTTGTTGGACCAGTCGCAATGTTTCTTTGGCCTTGCCCTTTTGTCGTCTGGCCAGACGTTTGGCCTTTCGTTTGTCCGGTAGAAGTATGGAGGATGAATGTTGTTGTGCCATTATTGGTTCGGTAGCAGTAGAAAAGAGCAAATGATCCATACAAGCCGGTTTTCGTCCAGTCAAGGAAACGGTAATGGGAGCTGCCAGTTGTCTCAGTAGTTTATTGTCGTTGTGATCGTAGACACTTTGAAATTGGAGGGAATGTTTCATGGTTTTGGCCGCATCTTTGGAGAGTCTGGTCTTGTAGTTTCGATCTCGGAGTGTCCCGTGAGACACTCTTCCCGTGGTGAGTAACTTGTGTGTAATGGAGTGGTGGTCGCAATTGAAGTCTCCGGCAATCAACATCATCATCATCATGTCGTTAGATGACAATTGCTGCAATTTGTGTATGGTAGTGGCCATGGTTTTGAGTCTTCGTTCAATGGCGGATGCTCGTGCGTGCAAGTGGAGATTGGCGATTGAAATGGTGCGGCTGGTTTCGATTTCTTGCAATTGCACAATCATACCCCGATTGTAGTTTTCGCTGTGTACGAGTTTGTGTTTTTGAGATTTCCAAGCCACACAGAGACCCACAATGTCGGCATACTTTTTACTCTTATTCAAGGGACTCCAGACATGACAGTCATACTCTGGCAGCAATAAAGAACGCAGGTATTCTTGTTGTGTCTCTCCTTCTACTTCTTGGAGACATAGTACATCCGCATTGGTATTTTTGGCTTGGGCAAATGCCAATGGGAGACGATTGTGTCGATCTTGGATAATGGCTGCCAATCGTTCTTCTTCGTTGGCAATGCTCAAATAGTGATAACTGGGTGCCAACACATTCATAGACACCACACTGAGCTCATTGGCTTGGGTAGCACGAAAGGGACTGCAAGGTGGAAGCACTTGGACACCACCGACAATTGGATTGATGTCGCCGCCAAAAACACGAGCTGGTGGAGATAAGCTCTGCGTCAGACAACTGCATACTCGTAGAATGGAACATATAACAAGGAGATGAAGATATCCATAATAGACGTAGACATGGATCATTTTTATATACATGTATGCTACCCTCCTAATACTTCCAACTGAAGAATGGTGTTGGTACGGCGTACAGTAGAAAGAAAGAAATAGTAAAAGTGGTTGGTTGCTGTGATCCTCTTTGTGCTCCGGCCGAAGCCTCATTTTTCTGACGTCAGTTTCATTCACTAATGTCAGAGCCCTCATGACTGAAAGAATTTTCTTGAGACATCAAAAGGGCCAGTGTGCATCTAGCTAGCTGGAAGGACTTTACAATCTTTTCCGCGGTGGTACCTGGTACCAGGTACTGCCGGTACGGTACCGGTACCGGTGGGTCTCCATCGCACTATCGCATGGTCGCTTCCATACGGTGACCTCTGCTATTGGAGAGCTAATTGGTCGCCGCAAGCAAGCTAGCTAATAAGAGATATTAGTTAGAAGAGAAAGATGGACCCTGATGGGCAAGTGTTAGAAGGCAACGAGAGGGAACCTGTGGATCCAACGTTCGAAGGAAAGCTGGATCCCCCTGGAAGACGTGGATCCAAAATAATTGAAAAAGAGAACAGTGGAGCTGGGACAAGCATCCTTGGCCATGTAGTAGGGATCCTTGTCCTTGCTCTTGGCGTTGGTTATCTATTGCTTGGCCAAGAAACGTCTTGGGATGGTGGTGGTGACCAATCGTTCGTTCTGGATGGATTCCATCTGATTGTCCAACTCTACTTGGGTTCTCAGGATCTTTTGGTCCAACTATTACTGGGTTCTCAAGATCTTTTGGTGCAATTCTTCATCGGAGGTTTCGACTTGATCCTTCTCTCCTTGCAGTATACCATCGACCATTTTATACTCGTTGGAAGCGCTCTCGGAGGGACCATATTCCTTATGGGGAGCGGAGATTTCTGGGCGGGATTCGATCGCCTGGTTCAACTATATTTTCAGGCAGTGGAACTTATCATCCAGCTCTATTCTACGGGGTTCGACCTAGTATGGCAATTCTATATCAATGGTATCGACCTTGTGAACCAACTCTTCTTTGGCGCCATTGAGATCACGGTTTGGAGTGTTTGCGCCCTTCCTGGACAGCTTCTGGCAAGACTCTTTGAGGACAAGACGACACACTGAAAATGGTCAACAACGATACCACTTCCATGGCATTATGCCCACAGGACGGCTGTCAGCCAAACGCAAGAGAAATTTTATGAAATTGAAAGTCAAACAGGATCGTGGCACGGCATGGACCAATGGAAGTTGTCTGCTGGTGGAGCTTTTGCAGCGCCAACAATCTTCAAGACATACTTCAGTTAGTTTTGAATTTGTATCCCTTGCACATAGAAACCTTATGGCTGAAAATGGCCAGCCCTCCTATCCCCTTTGGTTGCGATATACCTGCTTATTATGATCTCTTTTCAACCAGCCAGTCGCAATATCTCCTGGGATCAACGAAACCAACCGGCATGGCAACATGTGCTGGCATTCTAAAAGGTACAGGCCACTGCGGATGACCTTGTACTGGTACCGTACCGGAACAGCAATAAAATCCAAAAAGCTGACCCCTCAGCTTTGACGTACGGTATCTTCTCAACCATGCTGGTTTAAATCTATTTCACCAGTAGGCGAGCATGCAGATTCGATTGAATCATTCGTGCAACCTTGTCAACACGTCGACTCTTGCTCTTTCGACGAAGCAACAGCAACGGAGCAACAGAACCTTCGTTGACTTCCCTGGTGATGGATGTCAGTCTTATTTGTGGTAATAAATAAATCAGAGCCTTGCATGCATGTTTCTGAACAATCTAACAGGCATGCCTGGACAAGATACGTCCATGTAGCAAATTCTTTCTCCTATAAAATCGCATTGGCTTCATAATAATCTACTCTCTAGCGTACATTCCAACGATCAAGCTATTAGTCTACCGGAACTGTACTGGCTACCTGCCGAATTCGATTCAATTCAATTAATATTCTACAATGTGGATCAAGCTTAGTTTGGCCCTTGGCGGCATGGCCGTTCTGTTTGGTCTTTCCATTCGACCCGTTCCTTATCAATACGTCACGCTGCAACCCAACGGTGGATGGAAAGAGGCGTCACCCAACACGGAAGGAGCACGTATTCTGTTGGGCAGTTCTTCCTTCATTCTACCGCTGGTTCGCGCCATCAATTGGGTGGGGGATCCCTTCAAGCAGTGGTTGGTTCCTCTCGCCAATGACATGACAGTAGATGCCCTCAAACAAAAGGCCATTGCTCTGATTGGACACGATGATTTTGGAGACTTGGCGGATTGGGATGCGTTCCATCGATTGCTCCAAGTGGGCGAAGAGCATTGTCACTTGTTAGGGCGACTGGCCCTCAAAGAAATGGCATTCAAGATGCTAGCATACAATCTCAAGATTCAAAAGCTATTGAAAGATCACCCCGAAATCAAAGACGAAACCATTGACCGGCCGGTCCTTCTCATGGCATTTACTCGTACAGGCGCCACCTTTTTGTACCAGGTCTTGGCGGATATCTACCGAGAGGAATTGAAACCAACCTACTCATACGAAATATTTGGAGGACCTATCGCAATTGGTGGTCAAGATCGAAGAATGCAAGAAGCAGAAAAAGCTCTAAACGACCTCGCAGTTGTCAATCCACCCATGAAGCTCTTGCATGAATGGATTGCCCCTGACGAGCCCGAGGATGAGCCTGGCTGGTACCAATACACACTCATGGGAGTGGTCATCCCATTCTCCTTTCCCTCGGAATGGCACCACGCCAAGATTTACCAACCAGAGAGCCAACAATTGAACTTTCGCTTGTGGGAAACCCTCAACAAGATTCGGCAGTGGCAAGCTGGGAAAAAGCTGCGATTCCTCATGAAGGCCCCAGAGCATCTCTTTGGCTATCCGCAAATCGCTCAAGCCTATCCCAATGCCACATTCGTGTCAGTGTCGCGAGACGAAGAATCATGGTATCCATCCTCCTTGATCATGACCCATTTGTTTCGACAAATGTTTGTCCACCCCCGTGTCGAGGATACCATTGCCTTTGCAGATCGGCTCCTCTGTGGACAACGACAAGCCTTGCAAGTGGCACATAACCTACCCAACAATACCATTCTACCCGTCCAGTTTGGCAAGTACCTGTTTACGCAGACCATGGATGTGGTGGAACAGATTGCCATTCATGCCGACCTGCCGTGGGATGATGATGCCAAGACACGCGCCCAGCAAGTGATTCAAAAACGTCTCTCGTGGAAAAAGGAAAAGGCATTCTACAAGTTGGAGGACTTTGGTCTCTCCAAGGAACTGGTGGCGGAACGGGTGGCCACCATCTGTGACAAACTTCCAGCCGTAGATTTGTAAAAAGTTGACAACCAAAAGTTTGCTTCTCAAGCCAGCTTGCTGCTCTCACTACTGGCTAGACTAGCTAGTTCTTCGCCAGCGAACGTTGGTGGTAGCCTTGGTTGTCGACAATACATGTAGTCGAAACTTTGTGGCAATGGCGAAAGAACCACAGTGTAGAAACAGCTGGAAGATTGGTTCTGCAGGTTGAAAGTAGTCTAACTTGTCATCGAACTGCGTGGTGTGGTTTGCTAGCTGTAGCTACTAGCTAGCTTTGCTATGTATTATTACCGTAGCTTGCTGGAAGCCGCAGCGGGCTGAGGACAAACTTGCCACCGGTGTTGACAGGGTGGGGTAACATCCGTAGGATGCCGAGACAGAGCCGCCCATTTCCCCCACCGTTCAGCCGTCCAATGTTACCGTGCTACATGTAGCTAGCTAGAGCTTAGCTAGCCACCAGTACCGGTAGTGCCTTCACCCTCGGCTTGTTGGAGCCGACATTGTTGGTGACATGCAAATGCGAGAAAAGGGACAAGTTCTTGCTTGCAAATCGACCGGCTTATACGTGAACGATAATCAAATCCACGTCTCAGCCGCTTTGACCTCGCACGTCTTTTTCTTGAGCCACTCCGTCGAAAAACTCTTTTTGAAAGGTTGTGCTCGTATCAACCCGCCTTTGCCTCTTTGTGTTTCATGCTCTACATGGCCAAAACGACTAAAACAACTAGAATGGAAGCATCAAGGCAGCATCATCGATCCTTGGCCAGCAGCGACTGGTGCTTGGATATTGACGCGCCCAACTTGGCGTTTAATTGTTACACGCCTCCCGATGAGCCCGTAGATGTCTACCGGCCCAAGAACTGTGACACTGAATATGGACCATTCGTCGTTCAAGGTGGTGATTGGTGCGATAGTCCTAAGTATGGGGAAATTTGTTGCGGTGACGATTGTTGCGTTGTCAATGGAGGTCTCATCGCCGGAATTCTCGTCGGTCTGTTTCTCTTGGTGGGACTGATTGTGCTGGCGTCATGTGCGTGCTGCAAATGTTGTGTGTGGTATGATCGGTTGTGTTGCAGTTCCACCCATACCGGTAGTAGTGCTGATCAAGGCATTAAGAATGATGAGGAGAAAGCAACGGTACTCCAGCAAGACAACCCCAAGCAATCCGTAACTATCGCACAGGACCACTCCAACAGTTATACCGGCAACACAGAGGAGGTGCTTCACGCCTAGCCGGTTTTTCACTCTCGTGAAGACTTTTATTGCAATGAAAATATGGAGGTGAAATCTGCTGTGTCGGAAAGTTTGACTATGAATCGAATCCTTAGGTATTTGCCGATAAGGTTATAGAGTATTTGTGATGTGCAGCATACATACGGCAGACTGCTGATTATACGCTTGGAATTGCTCTTCTGGAACTGTGGCACATCATCGATAGCGACAACGGCTACCCAAAAAGAAGTGGATGATGCCAACCAAACATGGTACAGGCAAAAAACTCTTCGCAGTGTCATTCGACGGCACTAATGTACATCGGCTCTAGTATAGCCCGGGAATTGTTCCTGGGTCCTCATGTTGGTCCGGAGATGGATCCAGGAAGGGGGCCTGGTTTTGGTCCAGGATTTGATTTGGGGTAGGGCATGGACACGGGTCTTGGTGGTGTGTCGATTGTCGGGTCTGGAGTCAGACCGGGTGATGTAGGTTTTGGTGACACCTGCATGGTGAAGTGGCCAGACAGGATCCCTTCATTGCTTGCTTCCTTATCCACCAGTAGCTTGTGCATAGTTGTCTAGAATGACATCTAGCTAGAGTCCCTGGGCAGGCCATTCGATTTGACCCAGGAGTGGGGGCTGGAATTAGGCTGAGCGAGGTCCAGGAGCGGGGTCTGGAGTTGGACCAGTTGCCCACGTTGCACAAGGTCCAGGTTTGGTGATTGTTTGGTTGGGCCACTGACCAAGTTGCTCTTGAGCAGCTTGTGGTGCTTTTCAAGCTGTGACAGTGGAGCAGAATGCTCGCGCCCCCTTTCGTCTTTCCCGTAAACCTTACATGCAGTACGGCCGTTAATTTACGGTGGATCCCATTGTGGTACCGCGACGAAAGGGCAGCGACGAGGATCGAGCACTGCAGACACTACTAGTAAGCCAGAAGGCAAGGGTCTCATCTTTCTTCTTTCTTCGATGTGCGAGAGAAAAGAGAGAAGAGCCGACCTTCGTCACAATCTATGATACAGTATTTCTGTTTCCATAAGTGTCAACATAATACTGTGATCTGCGAGCTGAAAACGGAGTGGATTTGGAGCCATTGACTCGCTTCCACGTTCCCTCCGTTAAGGTGTACACTAGTACCGTACTACTGTAGAGTACTGCTGTACTGTACGGCTATTACCGGTACCTGTACGAGTACCTGTACGGACGAGTGTGAGTGAATGCCTCATTGATTTCTCCACAAAAGCTCTCCTGAAAACCTGCACTGGAGGAGGAAATTGACTTGAAATTGATTGATCATTCGTCATTCCTACAGCATACAGCCGTACTAGTACGCTACTGAAGCTCTCTTGTTGCATTGATTGCGGTCTTCTATCGATACAAAGGCCCCCAGACATCCAGACACCACTTTTCGATTTTGCTGTTGCTGTCCCCTTTCTGTCATCAGAGCCGCATCACTACGGTAGCCAACCATGTCCCTCCGCGGCAGACCGACGGCAAAAAAGGAAGAAGGCGAACAAAGCCAGCTTTCGATGGTCAAGAATGAGCCGGCAGTTGAAGCACTTCTTCTTCAGTACCACGACACGAAACCAGCCCCTAACAAAGTTCGAAAATTGGATCCCCTGGAGCTTGCCCTAGCTGCAGAAAGGCCGACCAAAATGCACAGGGCTGGAGTAGATGAGGAAGATGCAAACGAATCCAAAGCAGTAAATACCAAGGGAAAGAAAAAGTATTCTAACTTTTTCACCAAGAAATCGCAGGCATGGACCTATAGTGAAAAAAGGACCCGAAGACAATGGGATGTTACCGTAGCCATGTTGGGCTCTGAAGAGTACGGAGAGAGATCAGACTATGTACAAGCATTTGTCGAACATTGGTTTCAGTATCCCACGGTGCCTATTGACAGACGGACGATCGCTGCTGCTGACGTAGCATTGCAGTGTCAAATGAACCAGGGCAACACGGATGTCTCTATCTTCCTGGTCAACTCTCTTTGCAAGTTTGTCGATGAGAGTTTTGGTCAGCCAAAGTATCGCACATTGTTTCTGGAGTGCGATTTTGTGGGTATCCTTCAAAACTTCATGTCTCTGAAACCTCAAGACGTGAATGTGGTTCAGTGCGGTCTCGTTGCCTTGTCCACTCTTCTTGGTAACCACAAGGATGCGGAAGGGCCCAAGACGTCTAGTGTGGAAGTCATGACGCTTGTGGTCCAGGCGTTACAGGATTTTAAGAAGTCGGAGGATGCTGTCGCCGTGGCCTGTGATGCACTAATGAACCTGCTAGTATTCAACCGAGAACCTTGCTCCAAGAAACTAAAAGAGCTCCAGGGGCCTCGGATACTAAGAGACGTACTTTCTCGAGCTATCGATAAAGGAAGTTTACTGGCGAAAAGTTCCATTGTTTCGGTGTTGGCAGAGCTGTCCGTCTCGTTGGCAGAGACGCTGGCGTGGGAAAGCAATGGTGATCTCCTGTATATGGTGCCCGATGCCATGGTTGCGTGCAGCAAGCACCGCACTCATGCATCATCGAGACACGACAACACCGCAACAGACGAACACGCAACTTTGCAAGCTAAGCGCTTCGAGTCTCTGTTGCAACATGGATTCCTTTTCCTATCCAATGTCACGGACCCGGCCACTAGTGCCAGTGCTGGTCGGCGTCGTATTCGCAGACACAAGCTGCGGGATCTGATCGAGGTGGCCAAGAAAGAAAAGTACGACGACTGTGCGCAAGAGAACTTTCTGTCCCTCTTTTACAATCTGTTGAGTGAAGACACGTTTGATGATCTGAGACAATACGAAAAGGACATTCGTGCGATTGTATTGGATACGCTGCAACTCCATCCTACAAGCCCTGGACTTCTTGACTTTTCGTTTGACCTGATATCCATCTTTTCGGGAAAGATTGCACCCAAACCCATTGGAGAAGGCAACTTTTTTGCGTGGACCATTCCCATCATGGACTCTTTTTCCGCTCGTTTGGAAGAAGGCACGGACGACGACGCTACGGTGGTTCTTGGTACTCTTTGCTCGTTAATGAAAGCCTTGGCACAGCTGCTAGTGGGTCACCCCGAAAACTGGGAACGGTTGATACACGTGGGTGGCTTGGGAGCCATTGCACGTGTCATGCGAGCATCTCCGGTCGTCTCGGACTTTTCCGACATTCAGGAACATGGATGTGACTTGCTGGCTTGTCTGATCCAAGGAAACGAATCCGCCCTGATGGAGTTGTTACGGCCTCCTGAAAATGACTCTAGTAGGCCCACGATGGATCACATCCAAGGACTGGCTCGTTCCAACGTTGACAACATCCGGGAGAAATTTGAATCATCGTTGCTCCCCGAGCTTTGCAAGCAAGTGATGGTTGTCATGAAAGCCACCAGCCGGGACGATGGCATACAGGCCATGGGCTGTGACATGTTGGTATGGTTGATTTCGACAAAGCCAGAAACGGTGGCTCCATTAGTGTGGGACGACGACGCTGGTATGATGAATCACTTGACGCAGTTGTGTCTTATTAGTGACAATTCATCGCTCCTGCCAAAAAAGTGCCAAGCAGTGTTGAGAGCTCTGTTTGATCACGATGGCGAAACGGTGTGTAACAAAATGTTCCAGGCAGCCTATGAAGTTGGCTCTCCAGATCGCAACCCTGCGTATAGCTTTGTAACGACACTGCGAGCGTCTCGGGGGGTCACAAAAATGGAGTAATCACATGGCATAGCATGACATGCGATTGTTAGATAGCCGCCGCGTGCATTGCGGAATGTGTGATGGCGACACGCGCCGTCGACAATCTACAACCCTTGTTTTGGAAAAAGGGTGTTGTACTATTCATCGTACGACATGTAACTGAATAATAATAGATGTTTCCTTTATTATGCACTATGGATCTTTGTTTTTTATAGTATTCTTATTATTGCTAGCTAGCTAATGTATATTGATATTCTAAAATGACACTAGAATCGCATCGTTGCCACCTCAATCACCAAAGTGCCACAATATCATCGTCCAACAATAGTAGCTGTGGACTGTCTCCTTGCATGGCATCACATGGTTGTTGTTGTTGCTTTTGTCGTCGAGATTGTTGTTGCTGACATGCCAGATGAATGAGTGAGGGTTGTTGCCGGAGCAGATAATACAGAGCACTCACGGTGCCCCGTTTTTTCTTCTTGTGTTGTGTGGTGGCTTGCCAAGACGGCGAATGATAAATGTATCCGTAAAAATCTTCTTCGAGATCATCGTCATCATCGTCGTCATCGTCAACATCTGGCGGATGGAGTGCCTCGTCCGCTGCTTGCGCCGCTTGGAGACATGGAAGCACGAGATGCGGTGGAATGGCTTCGTCGAGTGATCGTAACAGAGTCCGGAATCCTTGTTGATTCAATAGGGGTTGTCGATTGAGTTGGAGAAAGAATTGCAATTTGCGTTGGCGGTTGTCATTATTGTTGTGGTGGTTGCATTCCGGATGCGTAAGAACCAATTCTTCCAATGTGGTATTGTCGTGTTCCAAGACTTGCAAAAAAGGAACATAATGGTGAGTTTGGTCGTCGGGAATGACGCCTCGTAAACACAATTTTTGGAGACAAGTATTGTGCTTGAGTGCTTCCGTCAAACGCAATGGTGGTGACGCCGAGTTGGTTTGTGTCGTTGTGGTCGTCCAACAAGGAGTAGCAAACGTGACATCGATTCGTTTCAAGGATGATTGGTGCAGGACGGCGGCCATGGTGGTGGCCCAGTCATTATTATTGTTACTGTCGTTCGATTGCACATTGAATCCAATTATGTCATTCTGTTTGTAGCTCCTGTTGACAGCGTAGAATCGTGTCCAATTCTTGCGTCGTCAAGGAAATGCGTCGGCCTAGAACCAGTGACTGTAAATTGGAGTTGGAGGTTGTTGTCAACAGCATGGCCTCGAGTGCTTGTTTGGAAATGGTGGATCGATGTCGCATGGCCAATTCGACGTGTTGACAATGTCCTAGCCCCTGGATGATAGGATCGAGTGTCGTGTGGGGTGTGTTATTGTTGGCCACTACGAGTCGTAAACTGGTCATTTGGACTTTTTGGAGGCGTGTGGATTGTTCGAGTGCTTTTGTGAACAGTGTCAATTGGTCTTGGTCTTGTGATTGTGATGTCGATGCCACCAAGTCAATGTACTGACACGACAATGTCTCCAAATTGGTTTGGACTTGTAACAAGCGTGTCAATGCGGCCACGGAAAAGGCTTCGGCATCTTCACTTCCCTGTAATGTCAATTGCGTCAAATGCGCGAGGACAAACTTCCATGCCGGATCGGCTTCTTCCCCGTTCAACCACAACATCAGATAGACCACTATCATAAACCTGCCATCCGCTAGAAGCACTGCAGTAGTTGGAGAGGTAATCTTAGAATAACGGAGACCCCCCGAGAACAAAATCGGGATCTAGTGCCTGCCAAACCGGTGGCCACAACAGTTATTTGTGTCGCGCGCAAAAAGGCAGTGCAAAGTACTGGCCAATATTGACGGAAACACTGTGCCAAGGTGTTTGGGTTAATATGCAAACTCGCCGGTTGATTTAGCATCTCACATTTTGTAAAGGTGCCCCATGATGGGTAGGTGCTGATAGATTCTTCTACACCCACCCAGCAGAATCCGCAACGACTGTTTGATATCGTTTTTCGAATAGTCCATGACACTGTGAGTGACTACTCACCTGCGATAATGCCTCAACACTTTCGATTTGCCACCTTCCGCCTGACCTTGCAGGAATGCAATAAACTAGTACGATGACAGATTAAAATCAAAACTTCTCTTAGATGCCATATAGGGCGAACGTAGGCGGTATAAACATCAGGGGGCACTAGAAACAGACATCAGACATGGGCGCAAGGTAAGTCTCTATTGTACAGGGTAGTAATTCCTGTCAATAGGCAGTAGACGGTAAGTAGAGGCAGTAAGGAGAGTGACTAGCCAGTAGCAGGTAGTAGAAGGAATTACTTGCGATGGGCGTTTCCTCAACTCCAAATAGGATGGCACACTAAGAAAAACAAACAAAGCAGCAGAGTTAGTGGATTTATTTGTGCCTGTGCTCAACTCAGCTCGATCAAGGATACCATTCTCACTCACTTTCTCAATCGTCGAAGTTTTGTTTGGACCAGCCAATGGCCTGGATGCGGTCAGGCTCGCCCGCGTGTAGTCGCCAGCCCGCCGGTCTGCGGAGATTCTATCCAAAACTCCAAGTGAGCTTCTAGAACCTGTGGCGTCCTGCCCAATATGTTAAAAAGAAGAGTCTTTGGTGGTGCCACCGAAGTAGGTTGACTCGGGTCACTATCTCGGCCTTTGTAAAGCGTCGAATAGGGGCACATGTTGCCTTGAGACCCAGCTCACCCGAAGCCCTCAATGGTATACGTACTCAGAGACTCCTCTACTACGTACACGTTTGAAAGTCGTTGGACCATGCAGCAGCATTGGTGCCTTTGGGATGGGGGCTATCCACCGCCACAGAATTACCTACCATAAATGACCAACAAAGTGGTTCAGCTTAGAGCTGGACGGGAAAGATCCAAGGTGTATATGTTAAGTCCAAAATTTTTAATTTAAGGCTAGCCAACTCGTCACCCCGATACATACTCCCTTCAAAGATAGCCGAATTCGGTAATTCGGGCCTCGTTGGCACTGACGTGGTCAGAATGTCGCCCAAGGACAATTTCTTCGTGCAGGCATAGCACAATGGTACACATCCGTCATCTTGGCTTTAGGAGGCATTTTTTTTGCGCGAAGGCAGAGGGCAATATCTGCCCTACATTATTCTTTGAGGCTTTCAGTTTTCGCGAGTTTTAAGCCGAATTGCGGGGAGCTTTCTTTTTTGAGGGTCAGGTAAAACCCTGTTGGTGTTTTGGATTTCGCGCATCCCACATTTACCCAATTATAGCGACACAAACAGCACCTTGTCCGGAGCACTCGCTGCTGCGTGATCGGGATGTAATCATCTCTATTCGGTATGGAAGAGAAAAAGTTCCCAAAGACGTAGGGCCTCCACATCGACTACAATGACATTAGTGAGACGCATGGAACGTAAGACAAGGCGCCTCTCATAAAACTCAGAAACCAATACAACAATCTAGCACCAATGTCTAATGCCACTAACTACCCCTACCGCTCTTGGTCTTTTCCAAACCAAAGCGGCTTGGATGGCACCAGTTTAATCAGCGTGGTAGGGGCTTCTACGGGCCATGGCGGGTACCATACCTGAAAAGAAGAGAGAATGCACCAGAGCATCATTGGGCGTATATTGTCTAGAGAGCTCCACAGTTGTCGAAGATAGTAGTACGATGGCGCCTCCTGTAGAAGACTCACCAGCAATGCCTCGCAAGTTCTCCGACATCCCCTTTGCTGAGTTAGGGGCTGTCCACCCAGATGGTAATGCAGTTGGTCCTGCGGAAAGGTTTTATAAGTGTAGTGGTGAAAAGTATGATGAGTTGATGGCAATGGGAATTGGTCTCAACAGCGAGGACTCACGTGAGATTGGTAATATTGATATTGAACCGTACAAGTCCATGAAGTTGAAGAAAAAGGTCACTCCAACTCAGAAGAACATGGTAGATGAGATCAAACGTCGTGCCTACTGTGATGGTATCACGGAACCCAAGTGTGTCTATTGGGAGAGGAAGAAGTGTCTCGCATGGTTGAAAGCATATCCGGTGACTAACCCAAATGACTGCTCCTTCATCATCGCGGAAGAAAAGAAGCTGTTCAACTTGATTAATAAGGCAACGCAAGAAAAGCTTGATGAGAAGAAAGAAAAAGCCTCATCGTGGACCACAGTGGAGCCGTACCTTCGTCTCATTGAGTGCATGATGGACGATTCCATCCGCGACAAGTTCCTGGATATGCAGAGGATTGGAGACAGAGATGAGTTGGACGCCCGTAATTCAGACAACAGGCCTGAAACCATCTTCGAGGCCTGTTCCCGGCTGTTCAATGACCCAGAAAAAGAAGTGTACTCTCAGTGCTTACCTGATTTGCACTATTCCTTTGCAGAAGTTCTCGATTGTTGTTTTGAAAAAATGCCAGGACTTGTAACACCGGATGAAGTGAAGCGCCGCTGGGGTGATTGCCGTGCAAAGTTGATCAAGATCATTGCGAAGTGGGAGCTGAGTGGTAATGGTTTCGGCCAGAGGCATGAAGGTGAGGATGAGTTCGGCCACATGGGAGAGGACGAGATGGAGTGTGGTGACAACAGAGCCAACTTCTTGGATTCCCAAACCAAGGAGCACATTCTGTATCTCTGGCATGTGTCCGATGAGCAGCAGATCTTGAAGAATGTGATGTGTGTCATCGCTGAATCTTCCGCCGCGTCCTCTGAGATTTGTTCTTCGGTGGCAGGAACAGATCAAGCGACATCTGCCCGCAAGAGGAGAACCGATGAGAGGGCACTTGGTTTCTTCCGTGCCAAGATGAGTCTTGCCATGCATACGATGTCCCGTGCTGCCATTTTCAAGGAACTCCGTGAGACCCAAGAGAAGCTTTTCGAGGCACAACTCAGGGTCATGGAGGTTTCCAACGCGGAAATCAGTGAGATGTGGATGGGTAGAGTCCGGTATCTCGAAGCTCAAGTTGCAGCTGTCAAGGAATGCTTGGACAGTTTGGCATTGGAGGAGGAGGAGCAAAAGCCGGCCAAGAAAAAGAAGAGGAAGGTTGTCATTTCTCCCCTCACCCAGCAAACTAGTCTTGAATCCGACAGTGATGAAGAAGAGGATAATGAAGAGGATTGATGATCCCATTGCCTGTGTGTTGCGGCGGCTTCTGTTTTGTTGAAGGCGTCATTGTGTTGAAAAGAGATAGTTTGAAACAGATATAATGAAATAAAGTGCAAAGAAGGAAATCGACTGTCATTTACTCGCTAGATAGTGTATCGAGTGTGCTGGCTCAGTCCTCCAGTCGATTTCTTCTCAACTGAAGATGGCTGCTGGCGATGCTCGCATAGACAGTTTTAACACTCTCAAATCTGGCGAGCATGCGAATGAGATTGTTCTCGCGAAAGCCAGCCATATGCAAACTACAGAATATTAATGCTCGGGAACATGTGCTAGGCAATGTTAAATCTAGATCGACGAAGTTTTTAAAGAGCGAGCAGGGGTCTTACCCACCCAAGCCTTTGGTGTGAGTCGCTGCAGACCAAGCCGTTGAATGGTGTCAAGCATCAGTTCGCGAGGGAGTACCTATCCACTTTTCCTCTTCCGACTAACTCTTGACCAGTAAGATATGTCATCAAAATGTTCACCACCATGAAGAAGAGGTTCCGGTCGATACTCCTCTCCAGCTCCTTCCAACAGCATGCCTCCCTCACCAACCACAATGTTCATGTCATCACTAGCAAGGCGCTCCGCCATGTCCAACGTAAGCTCTTCCCCTGGAGAATCCACTTGCGAAATTGTTGCTGCAGCTTTTCGTTCTAACCTTTCGTTCACGCAGAAATTGTGCAGGCGGCAGAGGCAACGGACAACGGCGGTCACTTTGGCGATGGTCACAGATGATGGGAAAGCTCGCAAGAGGATACCCCAACGGCGCACCAGCATGCCGAAAGCACACTCAATTGTGATTCGCACGTTCGAATGGTAGTAGTTGTATGCATCCTTTGGCCCTGATCCAACAGCTTTGTAAGGAGTTGCCATCGTGGGTGTATTGACGTATGCATTATCTCCAAAGATACACAATCCTTCCTTCATGAAACCTGGCTTTTCAATCTGGTGATGGAGTTTGCATGATATCCAAGCGAGATAGTCAGAGGTGGAACCAGGGTGGGACACGTTGATGTCTAGGAATCTTCGGTGAGCATCGCATGTGGCCTGCATGTTCAGCCCAAACTTCTTCTTCCTGCCGCAGAAGAATTTCTTGGGACCACATTCTGCATTCTTACAACTCTTCTCACTTGGCTTCTCCGTCCAGATCAGGATTCCATCAACAGCCCCAGCGCAGCAATGAAAAACTCCGCGGCTCACTTTGTGGAAACCATCAGCAATGATCTGCTGTTCTTCATGACTGGATGGATAAGAGAAATCAAGCTTGGGACATTTATTGACTGCGTCCACAACCTTCCAGACGGAACGATAGACATCAGTATGACCAATGCCATGAACACCGGCAATGTCGTACGCAGCTCCTCCAGCAAACCAACGCAAAGCCGCACTGACTCTGCTTGGCATTGGAATCAACCCATTCTTGGCTCCATTCTTCCAGTTCTTGAGCCGTTCTCCACAAGGAACAGTAGGACCTTCCATGTAAGGCTTCAACCATCGCACGAGCTTCCAGAAAAATGCTGGTTCCATTCGGTAAGCACGCCTGACATAATGTGGTCCCAGTTCGTTGAAGATGTCATTAACAAACTTTCGCTTTCGATGACAATGGGGCTTCCCTCCGCACCTGTTGTCAGTCTTTTCACCAAAGACTGCGGGATCAGCGAACGTAAGCAACGACAGAGTAGCTTGGGCAAAGTTGAGGTATCCCTCCAATGGATGACTCCTAGTGGCTGCAACCAGCGGCAACAGGAGCAACCAAACCAGTAAAAGGAAAGTACAGATGAACATGGTGCTCTATTTGTGTGCTTTTATCTACTTGAAAGAGGACAACAATCAACCTGCAAGCATCGTTAGCATGGTATTGGTTGTGCATTGGTGGGCAATTGGCATTTGGTGACGTGGGAGTCCAAATGACCAATTTGGCAACTGACTAGTTGACCATGCAATTTGGGGAACCCATTTAGGGCCTGGTGACTGTGGCCTCCCAAAACCGAATTCGGCCCTTCCAAGAAAGTTGTTGGAACAGGGCCTAAGGATGCAGGCGTCGGGGATCTCGGCCGCATTTGTTTGGTGAAGGGGAAGCCTTTTACAGAATTTTATGGCGGGGCCCCAACACGACAAATTCACTACCAAGTATGTCACTGACTTTGTGGATTTTAGGAGAAATATTTTGGCAAATGGGGAAACTGCAGCGGAACCCACAAGATTTTCCTGGACCCGAGCCTTGTTACCGATGACGATCCAGAGTCTCGTTATCCGGATCTAAACTATTGGGGCTACCTACCCCCGTTGCGATCCAACGTGTTCGGAGCCATTCATGGCGGACGTCATACCTGATGCGGTAATTCAGTTTAGCTGGCAGAACAAGAAGTGGTACGAAGAGAAAGCCCTCGACGACATCATGAACAAAGGCCTGGATCGAGAATGTGGTTCTTTATCTATCACTCTTCCAAGAGTGGGGTATTTGATCAAGGTTAAGTTCTCAAAACAGCAAACGCTGAATGAGGCGATCAAGGGGAACAAAACGCAAGATATGGTAGGCTTGGACATCTATCGACTGTCACACGGTACAACACTAGCCGATGCACGGGATTCGACAAACAATGATGCCCAGTTTATGGAATACACTCCAGGAGGGCCGGAGGTTTTGATTATCATCAAACCAGAAGACCTTGGGATTACTGGTTTCTATGCTCCGCTTATGTGTGGCTTGTAATGATGTATTGCGCGGATCGTGTTCGCGCGGGCAAATGATGCAATCTCAGGTGGATTGTTATTCACCTTTGACCAGCACCCAGGAATCATTTCAACCTGGCATTCATCAAAGCCCACTGGCTCTTCAAGGCCAAAACTTCCAAAGACCCTAATCTTCCTCTGGTGAAGGAATATCTCATGGGACCACATGCAGATAATTTCTGGGCAGCAATGACCAAAGAAATTGCCAGCCTTGAAGGCAAAGGGACTTGGTACATCGTACAACGTTCTTAAATGCCCTCACACCTCAAAGGCGGCTATGCATGAGACATGGGTGCAACGGAAGTTTAAGAGCGATTACGCAGACGGACAATGTAAATAATTAAGAAGTCGCTAGATGGTGCGGGGCAGAGGAGTCCTTCAGTCCTATGATGGTGTCGCGTACTCTCCATTTGTTGGTTGGCCCACTGTTGGAGCCGGTCTTCTTCTTGCTGCTGCACCTGGATGGGAATCGAGGCAAGTTGATTTTACTCTTGCTTTCTGTCAAAAGCCCTCAGCCTGTCGCCCAGCCACTGTACATGGAATTGCTTCAGTACTATCGACCCAAAAAATATGAAGGACAGGACTGTGTTTTTAAACTTGACAAGTCCATTTATGGACAGACCGATTCACCTAAAATATTTTATGAGCATCTATGTCGCGGGATGATCCAACTTTGTTTCGAAACCTCGGCAGCAGACCCGCCTGTTGTTTTATTCATAAGGAGCATCAACTCATGGTATTAAATATTGTGATGACCAAATCTGGCTCAGTCCAGACAATGATCTGATTGAGTACTATGTTGAACAGCTACAGAATCTTGGATATGATCTCAACATGGAAGAAAAAAGGTGACATCTTTGGATTCCTCGGCGTTAATTTTGAAAGACAGGGGGACAATGTTGAGCTTACTCAAAGGGGGCTCATCAATAAAGTCATCGGATATACTGGTATGTCTGACGCTAGCAAGAAGCTTTCGTCTGCCGCCACCGATCCTCTCGAAGCTGACAAACTGGGGGCCCCCATTGCACCAGAAGAGTGAGCGAGCTATCCTGCTGCAGTTGGGATGCTTTTTTATATTGCGTCGAACATTCGCCCAGACATCACATTTGTTGTGCACCAGGTGGCACGTTTCAGTCACAATCCCAGGCTTTCCCATGCTCAAGCAATCATACGTATCATTCGGTATCTGATTGGCACAAGTGACAAAGGCCATTCTTGGTTTTTAGCCTAAACTTGATCAGGGACTTGATCGTTGGGTCGATGCTGACTTCGCCTGATTATATGGATATGAGGATGAACAGGATCTTGTGTCCGTCAAGTCTCGAACTGGATTTGTACTGACTCTGTTTGGTTGCCCCATTATCTGGTCCAGCAACCTACAAGACTTATATTACTTTGATCTCCACTGCTTCTGAGTATGTTGCTTTCAGCATGTCAATGAGGAGCTGCTTCCTATGCGAGCTTTGCTCAAAGAAGTTGGTAGCAAACTGAATATGCGGGTAATTACTGACAGTCTATTGCGCTCTACAGTGTTCGAAGACAAACAAGGTTGCTTGTCTCTGTTGAATGTTCCCAAAATGTCTGCGCCCAACAAGTATTTGGCATTAAAAAGTACCACTT